GGTCTTCATTGCTGCACGCGGGCTTTCTCTAGTTGCAGTGAGCGGGGGCTACTCTTCGTTGCAGTGAGCAGGCTTCTCATTGCGGTGACCTCTCTTGTTGCAGAGCACAGGCTCCAGGTGCGTGGGCTCCAGCAGTTGTGGCACACGGTCTCCAGAGCGCAGGCTCAGTAGTTGCGGCGCATGGGCTTAGCTGCTCCGTGGCATGTGCGATATTCCCAGACCAGGGCTCAAACCCGTGTCTCCTGCATTGGCAGGCGGATTCTTAACCACTGCACCACAGGGAAGCCCTAATTTCCTACTGAAATATTTCTTCACTTCATGTTCAATGGCTGTTCAAAATCTTACATCTGGACAATTACACTAGCCTCCATACTCTAAGCCGGACTCCATTCTTGATCTCACACATCTCCCGCAATGTTATCAGAATAATACTTTAAACAGGAAGCCTGTTTATATCAAACTCTTGTTTAAAATCCTTCAGTAGCTCTGCAATCACTTATAAATTTCTTGCTTTGAACTCTCCTTTAGTGGCTTTTGTGTATTAAATTTGAGAAACACATCAACATCTAAATAAGAAAATTACCTATATATCCACCACCCAGAGATAGCCTTGTTAATAATTTATTATTTCTCTCAATATCTCTTTACCTGCATTTTCAAATAGGGTATCTGTGTGTATACACATTTTATCTATACTTTAATAGGCCTCATGTTGACTACCAAATGAATCAAGGTTTTAGTTTTTCAAAGTAACTAGTTAAACTTATTCACATTTTCCCTGTTCCCCTACAACATTTCATGACTTTTCTTGTTTTACTGCACTAGCTAGTACCTCCAGAAAAATGCTGAATACTAGTGGTGAGAATCTGTAGATTCCTTTTATTATTCCAGGCTTAAAAAGCAACATGCTGGGGACTTCCCTGGTGGCACAGTGGTTAAAAATCTGCCTGCCAATGCAGGGAACACGTGTTCGAGCCCTGGTCTGGGAAGATCCCACATGCCATGGAGCAACTAAGCCCGTGCACCACAACTACTGAGCCTGCACTCTAGAGCTCCACAACAAGAGAAGCCACCGCAATGAGAAGCCCGTGCACCGCAATGAAGAGCAGCCCCTGCTCACTGCCACTAGAGAAAGCCCGCGCGCAGCAACAAAGACCCAACGCAGACAAAAATTAAAAAAAAAAGCAACGTGTTGGGTGTTTCATCATTAGGTAAGATGCTCCCTATTAGTTTCTGATATTGTTCTTTATCAAGTTAACAAAATGTACCTGGTTTTCTAAGAATTCTCATTATCAAGGAAAAGGTATTAAATTTTTTTCAGATGTCTTTTCTGCATCAAGTTGATCATATGGTTTTCTCCTTTCATCTATTCATGTAACTTAATTACTTTAAAATGTTTACTAATGTGGATCCATCGTAAGAAAATTTAAACTTATTAATATGGCTTATCTGGCCTTCAGGACCTGGACTCTATCTTGAAAATCATATCCTACTCCTTACTCATTGTGCAATAAATATGCCATGCTTTCTCAGTCACTACTATCTTTGAACCCTTTGCCAGTGGAAAGGCTTTTCTTTCTTGGGCTTTCAGGTAAATTCCCAACTGTCCTTCAAGACTTAGCATATTAAATTTTCTCTTTCTTCCTTCCTCCCAAATCTCCTCCTTTGCCATGTCTGCCTCTCCCCAACCCCTACTGAAGTAGGCACATCTCATTACGCTCTTGGTACCTTTTTCATACTGCCACCATAGTACTTCTCTTTAGATTGTGATTGTTAACTCATTTTTCTTCCACAGTGAGAGTCTAACTCAATTTTCACTGGCTGATGTGCATCTGGGCTCTTTCCAGCTTCTAATGATTATCTGGCTGCTATGAATGTTTATGCTTAAGCCTTTGTGTGGATATGTTTTCATCTCTCTCAGGTACATACCCAGACATAAAAATGTTGGGTCACAGATATAGGTACTTTAGCTTTAGCAGACATTTCCAAACATTTTCCAAAGTGGCAGTACTAATTTATATTCCACCAGTAACATTATCAGAGTTTCAGTTCCTCCATAAGTTCATTAAGATTTAACATTGCCAGTCTTTCAAAAATTTTTTTAGTCATTTTGGTGTCTATGTGGTAGTCTCTCATTTTGTTTTAATTTGCATTTCTCTATTAGCTAATGATGCTGAACTTTTCATACTTACTGGCTGTTGGGGTTTCCTCTTTTTGAGAAGTGTCTGTTCAAGTCCTTTGCCCATTAAAAAAAAACTAAGTAGTCTCTTTCTTGTTAATTCGCGACAGTTCTTTTGGATGCAAGTTTTTGTTATATATATACTTATACACGTATATACCTCAATATCTCAAAATCAAAAAATCAAATACCATTTTCTAGTTTGTTGGCTTGCATTTTTACTGGATAAGCAAAAGTTCATTTAACGAAACCCAGGTTCTCAACCTTTTCTTGATAAAAGCACTTTAAAAATGATCAAAAAACTTGTTTTACATTTATTAATGAGTATCCTGGATTGTCAAAGATATAATCTGGATCTCAGTATCTGAAGTTTTCAGAAGCTGTATTATCTATTATATGATATTTAATGTTTAACTGATATTTTAAGCTATAAAAACAAAGAACACTTCCTAATGTGTTAAGACATTCTTTCATCAAATTCTTGAGTTTTTTTTACTTACTTGGATTAAATTTCCATTTAAAAATGATATACTAACTGAAACATGAGGTAATTTCTTCCTTTAAATACTGTATATGAAACAAGCTGGAATTATGAATGCTAAAAAGCAAAAAATTAGGCAATGGGCATATGAGTAGCCTAGTTAGTCTCATCCCAGTCACAAAACCTCACCTGGCCTCAAAATTCAGAAACATAAAACAGAAGGGTTGAATAAGGTGATTGTTAAGCTTTTCCAGCTGTAAAATAAAAGCAATGAGTCCATTTAACCTTCAGAATTTTGTTATCAGATTTAACACTCTTCTTTGATGAGTTCCAAGTACATCCTTTTCTCACATGTTATGTACTGTCAAGTCAGGGCTGCCACACAGTTGTGCATGCACAACTCCAGGGGAAGTCATTCACTTTGTAGCACAACCGTATGTTGTTGCCCCAACTAGGTTAGTCATTTTGCACTCATTTTAAGACCAGTCTCAGCCCAATGTCACTAATCACCTACTATCCCACCACCACCAAAGCAATACAATTCTCAAGTATTACTGAAGGCTGTGAAAGCAAACTTTGAGAAAATCTCCTTGATATAGAATCAATACTTTTACAATTGTGAACCATGTACATGTTAACTATGCTAAATCTAATATTGAAAATTGAGTTTTTAAAGTCCTTTTTAACCATTTCTTTCTCTCTCAAAGCATTACTCTTTAAGCCACTTCTAGTTCTTTGCCTCTCAACTCCTAAAACCTTTAAAGCTACGTTGCCTCCTTTTTTTTTTCCTTTCCTTCCAGCCTTTCTGTTGTGTCACTTTCTTCCAATGGAGCAATTTAAATCTCTCTTGCTTATATCATTCTCTTTTCTACCTACTGTTCTTAACAAAACAAAGCCCCAGTACCTGGCTGGACAAACCTTCCTCCTAAATGGGAAGAGAAGGATTACAATGATCTCCCAACCCTACACAATAAAAGTTATACTATATTTGTGAATAAATAAGATCAAAGTACTGTCAGCTATTTCAACCTCTGTAAGGAATTTTCAGGAAACCCATTTAAACTATAAGTAAAACTACAGGGATAATTTATTAATGAAAAATTCTGCATATTTAATTTCAATAATAAAAAATGAGCACAAAGAATAGGTCTCAACTAGGTCTTTTAACTAGCAGATGGGAAATTTCCCCTCTAGGAACAGGTCCCTAGGTCACACTCCTATCCTGAGCAACATGAGACTGCTCTCTGCCACTCTTGCACATAGGACCTTCGCTCACTGTAAGCATCTACATGAAGAAAATACATTCTGTGCTAATTCAAAACGTGCCTCCTAACCTACTTTACGTGTCTGTAGCTCTGGAAGTCCTACCCTTCCCTCAGCCCACTTTCTGTTTTGTGTCTGGGTTCAGTGAAATAGATTTACCTGATGGGCTTCCAGAATTATTCATTTTAAAATAACTTAAAATCCTGTAATAATGACAGAATGTCCACCCCCCAAAAATAGGAGATGGCTTACTTACATCCTTTTAAAACCTTCAATTTAAAATATGTTTGCAGAGGGACTTCCATGGTGGTCCAGTGGTTAAGACTCTGTGCTCCCAATGCAGGGGGCCCAGGTTCGATCCCCAGTCAGGGAACTAGATCCTGCATGCCGCAACTAAAGATCCCACACACCACAACTAAAGATGCCGCGTGCTGCAACTAAGACCCGGCGCAGCCAAATAAATACTTTTTAAAATAAATAAAATAAAATATGTTTGCAAAACACATTAAACACTAAACATCAACAAGCAGCAGACACTAGAACTTAACTATCAGCATGTTAACATGAGAAACTCTCACTGTACATTAAAATTTAATTATTTTGGACCTTCTATACAGTATCTATAGAGGAAAAACTTCAAAATACCTACAAGTAACAAATCTTAGAAGTTACATATTTATGATACCTGATTATCGAATATAATTTAATCTCATCAGTATTAATTTATCTCAGTTTATAATGTATAATGCTTAAAATAAAACTATACTACGTTAAAATTTTTCCCCTTCAGTAATTTAGACAAATATTTCTCTTACTATGCAAATATGTAGTTGTATATACAAACCTAATGCTATTCTCTTCATGAAACAGAGCCCTGACTGTGAACTAAGGCATATATTTTTTTCAGGATAAAATACACATAAGCAAATTTTTCCTAACACAATAAATTATTAACATGTGATCAGCAGTAATTAATTCTAACAAACCTTATATTCACACCAGTATTTTCCAAGAACGCTGCCTTACTATCACTATCAATTACTTTGTATATGTCAATGAGACGTTCAGAATACATACCTCTTGTGCAAGGTCTTGCGCATTGGAGATAAGAGGAAATGGAGGACTGGCCTTGTTCATGTGTACTGTGACAGCGTTGTATATCTTAAATGCATTCTGGAAATCTTTATTTTGTACAAGTTGTAAAAGCAGTGAAATATCCTCCTGGCTCTGAGAATCTACCAAAGTATGTTGGATATGTTTAAGTGAAGAAAACAGGTCTTCCACTTCTAGTAGGAGAAGGAAAAGGTATCCAAAAATTAATTTTCTGTCTTAATTCCACATGTATTTTAAGATAAAATTTCTTGAACCAATAACAATCAAAGTTTTAAAGAAAAACAAAACTTGCAAATATTTTTGAGTGTCAAATCATTGTCATTTTACTGATTTTTAAGTAAGACTTTAAAAATTATACAACGGAATAACTTTTTTTCAAGAGTGTTTTAATTATGGAACTAATACATATCACTATAAAAATAAATGAAGGATAGAATACATAAATGAATAAAAAATTTAAAACCACCAATAGTCTCATCACTTAGAAACAACTTTAAAAAAAAATCGTACTGCATTTCCTTTTTTCATTTAACAGGGCATTTTCATTGTTTTCCCACATCACCAAACAGTCTTTAAAAAACTTATAATGGCTCCATGATGTTCTATTATATGTCTAAACTAAAACTTATAATAACCATTACACTAAGTTGAGCATTCAGGGTGCTTCCAATTTTTTGCTAGTATAAGTAATGAGCATTTCTGTACATAATGATCACTGCTATGTACAGTAAAAATGTCTGAGATTCTGGTGTTTCTTAAAATAATTCCAAGAAACAGAATTTTTAAATAAGATTCTGACATTTTAAAAGCCAAAGAGTTTTCTAGGGAGGTTTTACTAATTTATATCCCATTACCAATATTTTTACCAATATTCAAAATTACCATTTTTAAAAACCTTCTACTTCTTTAACAGGGAGGTTGAAGTTTACTCAGGCACTTCTTTCGTGGTTCATAGAACTCCTATGAACATGTGAGTCTCCTAAAATTTTACTGAAAATTTGGGGCATGTGTACATATGCACGTTCCCATTAGTATGCACGTGCAGCACATACATTTTTCTGGAAGAGGGTTATCCCAAAATGGTTAAGAACTACAGTTTATCTCTTCTCTGACCCCCAAGAGGTAGATATGTGCACATGTATACACTTTGTCACATTTGCTGGAAATAGTTTTCTAATTTTTCCATCTGTCTGTTAATTGCATTTGTGGTACCTTTATTGTAGAAGTTTTCGGCTGTTATGTGTTAAGAATGATCCACCTTTCCCTGGGTGATTTCTTTCACTGTCTAAGCTTATAAACTCCTTCCCCTAGGTCATTAAATGTTTACCTACATTTAAATTTTCTAATGGCTTCTATTTTGTAGTTAACTTCAATCTATCTGGAATTTTGTTATAGATTTGAGGGGAAATTTTAACTTCATTTCTTTTCTTCCAAATGGTTAACCAATTACTCTAACACCATTTATTGAATAATCCCTCCTTTTCCACTGATTTATGATACCACCAAATTCTTACATATATCAGGGTCTGTTTCTAGTCCACTGGTCTATCAGAACCACAATCTTCTTACAATAGTATTATGGTCTTTGCTCATATTGATATGACAAATACTTGCTCATTACTTTTTCAAAAATGTCTTGACTTCAAATGAGCTACAGAATCTTTTTTAAGATACCTCCTCACTCTCTATTTCCTATTCATCCAGAAAGAAAAACCTATTGAGATGCAGACTAAAATTAAAACTGTAAATGATTCTGGGAAAAACTTTCAGTAGATAGTATCTGTGTATATCTGTGTCTTATACAGTCACATTAAAAAAAAAAAGCAAAAAACCTCGTTTAAGTCTTTCTGTTAGTTTTCTTCACACAGGACCTGTAGAAAAGTTACTGATTCTTATTTATCTTATATCCTACTAGTTAAGAGTTGTTAAATGTTTTATAGGTTAGAATAGCTCTTCTGTTGATTCTGAAGTTCCCTATCTTTCCCCCCCAAATCAAAACAGCTTTAGCTCTCCTTATAAAAATTATATATGCTCTTTAGTAATTTAAAATGTACCAAAAAACTGGAAAAAAAATTGAAAGTCAAAACTGTCATTTGAATGACCTAAGAAGTTGTGATCCAGAACTAAATAAAACTTGAGAAACAGCCAGAATTTAACCATAAGTTAATGTTTTCTACAAGAGTAGACAGAATATAGATAGGGGAAATTTAAAGATGTTGGTCAAACAGTACAACTGTCAGTTTTAAGGTGAATAAGTTCTGAGGATCTAATGGACAGCAATGGTGACTAGAGTCAATAATACTGTATTGTATACTTGAAATTTGCTGAGAGTACATCTTAAGCATTCTCACCACACACACAAAAGGTAACTATGTGAGGTGATGGATGTGTTTATCAATTTAATTGTGGTAAACATTTCACAATATCACATTGTACACTTTAGATAAATAAAATTTTTTTGCAAACTATACTTCAATAAAGTTGGGGTGGGGGAAGAATATGGAGTGTCAGATTTCATCAAATTCGAAGAAGTTACCACAGAATTACCTAAGTGTATAAAGAATTCCCTGAGTATAAAGAATTCAATAGACTTAAAGTATCTTTAGAGCAAAACAGGAAAACATTTAAATATCTTAAAAGGAAAAAGAATTACAAAACCAACAAAGTAGTTAAGGTAATTGACTACAATCTTAAGGAGACTATAGACTTTCTGAGTGAATAATGAGACTTCTGTTTAAAATTTCAGTAATTATTTAAAGCGGCTCAGCCTGGTTGTCAGGGCAATGAGAAAATCAGGAGCTTCAGGATCTCACTGCTGAATGAAATCAATAAGCAACTTTAGACAGCCCAGAAGGTAACAAACTCCCTACTATGTCTCTTCAAGCCCAGGGGGATTTAAAATTTTAGAGACAAAGGAACTTCTACATAATCTCTGTGTACCAAAGCCACCCACAGACACTAAAATACTGACATTTAAAAGAAATTTTTTATCTGTAGTCATACCTCTCAGATATAACTACTGGTATTATTTTGTTATACTATATATATATATAGCCTTTCAGACTTGTAAAAAATGCTGATCCTAACCATAGAGGTCACATTGTAAATGTTGTTTTGTAATCTGATATTTTCCAATGTCTTTAGAATAAATTCTTAGGATAAAATTATCAAATATTTATCAAATATTATCAAATATATATCAAATATTATCAAATAATAAAAACATTTAAAACTTTGATACATATTGCCAAACTGCCCTACAGATTTGTACTAACTCATACTCCTACCACTAAAGAACTTGAGTGCCTGTTTCTACAAACAGCCCAAATTTTTCACTTTTGGTGATCTGGTTAGGAAAACATGTATTTCTTTGTCTAGTAGTGACATTTAATGTATTTTCACAAGGTTAACAGTCATTTGTATTTCTTCTTTCATCGATTTTCTCCTTATCTTTTGACCATTTTTCTACTAGATTTTTTTTCTTAATGACTAGAATTACAGAGATTATATAAATATCCCTGCAGTCTTAAGCAGAATGTACTAAATTTTCTTGCTGTATCAGAACAATGGTTTTTAATCAAGGATATTTATGAGAATCACTAAGGAAATTTACAAAGATATTTATGTCCTGAGTTCTACCTCAAACACAAACACAATCAGAATCTCCTGTGTCTTCTTTAATTTTATATATATATATATTTTTTTAAGTTGACTATGTACCCTTCTGGTTAAGAACCAATGACTTACAGGCTTTATTAACAGCAGTTATTGTAATATTTTAAGACATGATATACTTGGGAATAACTAAAGCACTCACACCTATTTTCTTCTATACTAAATAACCTTGATTGCTGTACTGAATTTTTGTGTCTGCTTTATAGTTATTCTAGTTCCTCCTTTGCAACTATTCAATATTTCCTTTTGTTGCCCCCTCTTACTTCCGTAGCAAACCCAGTATATAATTTTCATTTTTAGAATATTTTACGCACAAATAAAATACTGTAGTCATAAGCCAGCAAGGAAATAGGAAAAGGTAGGGTAATCTAAACTAGGGATGGCTTAATGAGAGATAAAACTGGAGATCAATGGCCTTATTTCACGAGATCAGTTAACAGCTGAGATGCAGCACAGAGGCAACAGGAATTTTTCTTTTTTTTTTTTTTTTGCGGTACGCGGGCCTCTCACTGTCTTGGCCTCTCCCGCCGCAGAGCACAGGCTCCGGACGCGCAGGCTCAGCGGCCATGGCTCACGGGCCCAGCCGTTCCGCGGCATGTGGGATCCTCCCAGACCGGGGCACAAACCCGCGTCCCCCGCATTGACAGGCGGACTCCCAACCACTGCGCCACCAGGGAAGCCCAGGCAACAGGAAAATTTGTGGTTAATCCAAAAGGGATGATTGCTTTAAAGTTCTAAGAGGGGTTTCCCAGGTGGCGCAGTGGTTAAGAATCGATCACCTGCCAATGCTGGGGCACAGGTTCGAGTCCTGGTCCGGGAAGATCCCACATGCCGCGGGGCAACTAAGCCCCTGAGCCACAACTACTGAGCCTACGCTCTAGAGCCCACAAGCCACAACTACTGAGCCCGTGTGCCACAACTACTGAAGCCTGCGCACCTAGAGCCCGTGCTCCGCATCAAGAGAAGCCACCCAATGAGAAGCCTGCTTACCACAAGGAAGAGTGGGCCTCGCTCGCCGCAACTAGAAAACGCCCACGTGCAGCAATGAAGACCCAACGCAGCCAAAAAAAAAAGAAAAAAAAATTCTAAGAAATCAGTAGGCTTCTCGTGTTGATAGGAAGTTAGGTAAGGAATAGAGGTTCAAGATAAAGAGTAAATCTGGTCAATTTTTTCATATTGTGTTCATACTGAGGAATTCTAAAGACATAAAGACCATCCGGGACAGTTTAAAATCCAGAAAAGAAAAAAAAATCTCAGGGTCAAACTGGAAATGTCTTTCTCTCAGGAGATCAGGGACCAAGATAAGATCTATAAGAAATAGGAAGGCTGAAAGCAGAAGAACAATACAACTGAGTCCCAAAGAGGCTGTTGACTTAGTACCTATCTACTTAAGTAAAGGCTATCAGGAGAACTTAAGGACCATGCCAAGTGCCAGAAATAACAACTTTAACTGGGCTTAAGTTTCAAATTTTGTAGGTTGGCATCAAGACCAATTTAA